TGCTACTTTATGAATGGTCTACCAAAACTGCTTGAACATTTTAAGGAGGGAAAGATAAGTTTGAGTTGTTATAAAAGATTTTATGGGTAAATTGTAATTTTCTCTGGTCAGAAATTTTAGGGAGAATAATTTGTCAGTTGTCTTATCAATGTCCTGAAGAGCTGAGCTCCTGAAGGCAGGGAGCACTGAAGGCCATCTTGGTGACCTAAGATACTGATCTTCAGGTGTTTCTTGATTTGGTGCCCTGACAGTAAGGATAGCATGCAATATCAAAAAAGACTCTGAGAACAGAGATCAAAAAGAACATTTTGAGTGACTTGGTTAAGTGAGAGGAGGAACGGGCCATGGATCATTGGGATGTCTTACATATTTTATTTCTTTGGATCCTATCAAAGAATACCCCCGTGAGATTGGTATCTTCTGCACCATTTTATAGAAAAGGAGAGCACAATAGCAACCAGCTAAAGAACTTGCCACTGTTATGCAGCCATGACATTGTTCTTTCTGTTTGGGGGCCCTGATCTCTCCAGCCCCAAAGCCCATGCTCTTTTTTTGGTGTGCTGCTCTGTGGCCTTGTATTGGAGAGGCCAGGAATGGGGAACCTCGCAGAATCATAAAGCCGTCTATTCGTGTAGCATACTCCGGGCACTGTGATGAGTACTTTGAATTTAACCCTACTGGAAATTCTCCCACCAGACTTAGGAAGAAGCTGCTGTTATTTGCACTTTATAGATGAGTAAATGACGTTAAAAGAGACTTGGTGGCCTCACATTACAAAACAAGGGCACACAGAAGTCAACTGACAGCAAACAGAGAGGGAGGACTTTGCAGAGAAGGGGATACTGTGCTGAAAACCATCTGCATGGTTGGCACAGATTGAGGAATTTTAAACATTAAAGTGTTAGTTGGAGGTCTTTTCTTCTCCAGATAAAAAGCAACTCTCTTCTATTCATTCACAGAACTGAGTCTGAAAATACACATAACCAAATTCAAATCCGATAAACAAATTCCAACACAAACTGCGTAATTAAGGCTATTTTTACGATTAGCACCATTTAGTTTCCCTGAATTTGCCAGAGCAAACATTGCTATAGCAAAAATTACTGCTAATGGTGGAGCCTAACAACAAGAGAAAAATCCCCCAAAGGGTCACCTAGGCCCCAGCTACAGCTGTGCTTCACTATATTTCTTACTTGAAAGCTGAGAACTAACAGGAAAATTAGGCGCTGCCATGCTATGCAGTGTAGCTAAGACTATTAATTTATTCGGCAAACATTTCTTTAGTGCCTCCTATGTGCTAACCACCCTGGCATCGAGGGAATAAACCCCACCCAGCATTCTCAAATAGCCAAGTTTTATGTAGCAGCAACAGAAAGGGTTGAATTAGAAGAGTCTTAAGGCTGCAGCTTCATAGGATGTGCTGGGTAGATAGATATTCACTTCTGATCACTGAGGTGGGAGGGGATCCAGTTATATGAAAACAGAGGCCTGAACGTTTTCTGGGGTAGAAGCTGGTGTCTATTCCAAAACCAGGAATATAAGAGGAGGAGCAAGTTTATGGAATAGAAACATTTTACTTCACAAATGACTGACCCATTTGCCTATAAAAGATTCTAGTGGCGAGGATGTTTAGGACATCATATTGGCAGATATGAGACAGATTTGGAGAGCTTTAGCATGTTGCTGTTACAGTGTTAGTACCAGCAGCAGCAACAGCTGCAATTGCTCATTTTGAGCACCTACCATGTGCCAGGCTTTGTGTTAAACATTTTTTACAGGAGCCATCTGATTTCATCTCATGACAGCCTTGTTACCACAGAGCCAGGATTTGAACATAGGCCTAGGCGACTTCAAAACCAAGATTCTTTAATCGGTCACCCCTTAACCACCTCCCCAATAGAACAACAGATCGGTCTGTTCCTCTGTGCAACCCGGGCTCGGATCTGCAGCCTTCCTGTGTGTTCAGAGCTCTAGTGTATCTACACGCTTCTGCCCCGACCGGTCAAAAGTTACATGTTTACTAAGAGGCAGAACAGTTCTATTTATTAACAGAATCGTGTATTTTAATGAAATATTTAATCTGTAAGTAATATGAATATAAAGGGAGTGTGTCTGTGAAAATGAGATAAAATGCTTAGGGAAGCTTCAGTAAAGAAAATTAGATTGTGAGAAGGAAATGGAAGAGATATAATCCATGGACACCTAGTGGAATTTTGCATTCACTTTGCCTTGTGGTTTTTGTCCACTTTAAGACACTGCAGTCATTCTACAGACTGTACGCTGTAGTTCTGGTTTACATAAGAAAGAGTGCGTGAAACATCAGTCAGCCGACCCGGAAGCTAAATCTTTTGAAAGAGATTTCTATGCACTCGCCCAGGGTGAGCATGTTATGAGAGGAAAGAAGAGGATAAGAACTTTGGAGCTCATCAGAGACACTCTTCAAAACTTCAAAGTGAACTGAATGATAATGTTCAAAGACGTAGAAGGGGAATTTCAACACAACAGGATTATGCACCGGGGTTTTTTTTCGGGGGGAAATACGAAAGGAATGCATTTCTGTTTTTTTATCTGCCAAGCTTTTAGCTAATGTAGACTCCAGGCAGCATCGCCTAGGACAAAGAGCATGGGCTTTGGAATACGTAGATGTAGCTTCAAGCACATAATTGAATGTCTAACCTTGGGTAGAGTCTTTGTGTTTCAGTTTCCTCAAATTAAGATGCATAGTAATAAGTTATATCATCCAGTTTTTAAAGAAATGTACCGTATCAGGCACACAATAAGTTATAAAAATAATTGTTATTCATTTTTTGCCCCCTTTTGGGGGGCTATTAAAAAGTATAAGGTAATAAGCAAGAAGGCAGACAAAGAGATGAAAAGAAACATGCACTGTCCCCCTCACTCCTTATATGAAGAACTATTCTTGCCCCATTTAAAGTGCATTTGCAGGTTGGGACCAAGAACTCTTCAAGAGTCTGTACGAAAGTTGTTGGAACTGGTCAGGAATAAAGATAAGGAACTGGATGCCAATGGGATACTTGGTTGTAGCAGTTGCTTTTTTTTTTTTTTTTGTATATCATTATCTTCCTTCTATAAACTTCACATTCAGTTTGTCTAATTTTGAGTTTATGGAATTCTGCTAACCTATCATTCTATGTAACTTATATCACTTGCAGATTTACCATGAAAGTGATGTCTATTTTCAAAGAAGATAAAAGAATCAGACGCACACATTATTCTTAGTCTATTAGATGTAACCTTTAAACCGTGGGAGTTTGAGGCTCTGTAGTAAATGCCTCCTTTATTGCAAAGCCAGTTTAGGGTAGGAACAGTGAGCAAGAACAGAACAAGAGTTTTTAAACACCCTATCCAGAGCCTCTAATAAGTAATCAATATGATCAAGACGGTAAAAGAGACATATCTTATCCTCAGCATGCTTATAAGGCTAATTAGAAAAAACAATATTAGTAAATAAAAAGATGAAATGAAAAAGTAAGTATTTTAGCAGAATTGCAGGTAAATTGGATATTGGGACAGAAAGAAAATTAGCAAAGTCAAATAAAAGAATCAAGAGGAAGACTTCTTAATAATTTACATTAAGAAGATAATGTACATTTCAACTCATGTTTAAAATGTGCTACATCATTATCAGACTTTAAATTTAGCTTAAGATTTTATTGAGCCACTCAATGATATTCATCAAATTGATGATATAGAAGTAAATTTTATATACCTGGTTAGGCCCTCATAATAAAAGTGTGGTTGTGTTGCTAGTTATAATTATAGGATTAAAAACTCTCAGCAAGGTTTCTTGAGATTATGCACGTGCCAGCCCTGCTGCATTCCAACGGATTAACATCAGCTGGATTTATAAAGTTCCTGTTGGTTCTAAATACATATAGAAATTAGAGGTGAATTAATTTGCAGACTATCACAGAAAAGAAAAATGTATCAAATCTGGAGTAAGAGTTCTTTTAAGATTTGTAGGATCTAATTATACCAAAAGTGGGAGCTCTCTGGAACCAACCAACCCCACGCTTCAGCTACCTTTCTTGTCGGAGCCTAGGACATTGGGGATGGTATTTATAGCTTGGACTTTTAAAATCTGGTTTTGGAGGAGTCCTAGACTCCAGGTACTTTTACACAAATGCCACCCAAGTCAAGGTCTTCATGATAATAACCTCTGTGTGGGAAGTAAAGTCTGAAAGATGCTGAGACAGTTAGTTTATTGTGATCAATGGTCCTGGGATCCCTTACTAGAAATTGTGTCTACTTCTGGGCTCCATGATTTAAGAGAAATGTGGAAAACTTAGAATCAGACTGCTGGCTCTGTCCAGTTGTTAATCACGTCACAACGTGCCCATGTTGGCAGGTCATTGGCTTTCTCAAGAAAAACTGGAAACCTAGAATATTCTGTGAATTTTTTTAGCATTGACAAAATGCTAAGATTTATCAAAGTACTCTGCAGGCAAAACAGTATACTCATGTGGACTGTAAATTTAGAAACCTTGGGGTTATCCTTTAGGTCAGTAGTTAACCACATTAGGTAAATAAATGAGACAGAATGATTGAATTCTAAAGCTTACGTGAGTTCATCTACTAAACTTTTGCAGGGTTTAATTAAGGTTCCTTTCAACTCTGAATCTTTTGATCTCTCCTTCCTTTTTTCTGTGCACCTAATATTGGGTGACTTATTCACACGGGTGGTGAGAATTTAAAGGAATTATTTTATTTAATAAAACCATCAACTACTTAGATTAAAAACAACGCTTGTTGCTATACTAGAGATGCTGCTGATGATAGTAGCTTTTCAGAAATGCTCTTACACAGACAGAATTTTGGAACTAACATTTGTTTATAACATTGGGTGCATGAGGCATGCTGGACTTAAAAGCCTACTTACACTTTTACCACTTTATTTCTCTTTTATAAAAAACATTTTCAAATCACCCGTCCCTCCCTGGGGGAGGGCAACTAGAGTTCTGAAACCCCCTTCCTTCCAGACAGGAGAATATGCCACCGATGAAGAGGAGGATGAGGAAGGAACCACCCTTCCCAGCAGTGACATGGCCATTGAAGTCTTTGAGCTGCCTGAGAACGAGGACATGTTCTCCCCGTCAGACCTGGACACGACCAAACTCAGTCACAAATTCAAAGAGGTAAGCTGCTGGTCTGCAAAGCACTTTCTAATCCCATCCATTTAATTACTAAGTATTTATTTTTGTTTGAAAAATGTAGTAAGATTTATCAGTTTTCAAAATGGAGCCTTTTTATAAAGGATTGTCTTGAATCACCTTGAATTCCAAGGTAAATTTTAAGTGGATCTTGTTCCGTAATCATTCATTTAAACCCTTGTTATTTGTCGTAGTGACAGCTTACATCTTGCCTATTTCATAATTTCAAGCTGTAGTTTAAATGTGCTGTTTTCATGATAAGTTCATGTTATATTTCTTTTCCAGTTTTATAGTGATTTGGGGACCTGGTGATAAGCTTTCCTTGAAGACAACGGTTTTAAAAGTTGTTGTTTTTCCTTTTCCTAAAATAGACAAGGTCCCAACAGCAGTCAGATGACATAATCAAATGCTTTAATTGAAGCAAGTGTAGTGAATGAACTTCGAACAAAGCTAGTGGAACTAACCAAGGGAAGGTGAAGCTGTTGCTGGCTTGATGGTAAAGAGGGTGGTGACCTTTTTGGAAAGAGGTCCATTCAACATTTGCAGCTTTGTAAGATGCAGCCACTGCTAAAAACTGCACCTTGGGGGCAAGGGCGATGTATACCCAGTCTCTTCAATCTTTCTGTTGTTACCTCCCCGGGTCTAAGACAGGCAGGGCAGTCTGAGAGACGCCATCTTGAAACCTGAGATCAGTGCTCTCAAGGCAGGAGCTGTCTGAAACTACTCAGAACCCCAAGACCTAAAGGGAAATAGTGGTGAATGGGTCCTTTACTGTTTTGGGGAACGTCCTCCATTGTGAAGACAAGTACAGAAGGTTATTATTTACAGCCTCCCCAAATAACCAGGAAGCACCGAGGCTCAAAAACCACTGCTGTGGTTTCAAGTCTGGCAGGGACTTGACCACTTCTGGAGAGGGGGGAGAGGGAAAATGTTGTCCTATACTTAAAAGTAAATTTGAGAATTACATATTTGTGATTACTAATTTTATTTGTGATTTCTAATTTTCATTTGTAATTTTTAATTTTGCTATATCATAAATAAGTCAAGTTTATACATTCTGACGTTATGCTCTATATGCCTAAAATGTTGACTTGCTTTTGCCTGTTTGGCTCAATGGGTAGAGTGTCAGCCTGTGGACTGAAGAGTCACAGTTTCGATTCTGGTCAAGGGCACATGCCCCGGTTGTGGGCTCAATCCCTCATAGGGGTGTGCAGGAGGCAGCCAATCAGTGATTCTCTCTCATCACTGATGTTTCTTTCTCTCTCTCCCTCTCCCTTCCTCTCTAAAATCAATTAAGATATATTAAAAAAATAATAACTAAAAAATAAAATGTTGACTTACCTTTTTAATTCCTGTGACAAAATTTACATCTTTGAGACAGGTATTAAGGTGAATATACTTTTCAAGTATAAGATTTTATGTAAAAAAAAATAACAACACATAAACCAACAAACTTAAGTTCATTTTAGAGTTTTGGAAAATGCAAAATTATATAAATATAAAAAAAACTCTCATAATCCCAATGTTATGGTATTTGGAATTAGATAATATAGAGTGTGTTAAATTCCTATTTTTTATATTTAAATTTGTAGTGTTAGGATTTTCCCATGTCACCAACATGATCTTCCATAACTAATGCCACTTCACTATTTCATCTTATGAATTTTTTTTATATTTTACTGATTTTTTACAGAGAGTAAGGGAGAGAGATAGAGAGCTAGAAACATCGATGAGAGAGAAACATCAACCAGCTGCCTCTTGCACACCCCCTACCAGAGATGTGCCCGAAACCAACGTACATGCCCCTGACCGGAATCGAACCTGGGACCTTTCATTCTGCAGGCCGACGCTCTACCACTGAGCCAAACCGGTTTCGGCTTACAAACTTTTCTTGATTTATCTAATTCCTTTTTTAGGAATTTTTTTTTTTTTTTTTTACTTCCAGGTCTTATGATTATTATTATTAAAAGTAAAATTGCAGTACATCCCTTTGCACTTGTCTTTAGGATAATTTCTCACACTGGAATTATTAAAGAATGTGAATATTTGGCAGGCTTGTGATATTTAATGCCACGTTGAACCAGAATGGCTTGGTTGATGCAGAAATGTGCTTATGAGTTGAGAGTGCCCATTCCTTTCCACCCATTATTACGAGGTGGAACCATTTCCATCCATACAGTCCACAGAGTCCTTGAGGCAAAACACATGGATTTTTCGTATGATTTATGGCCATTCCTAGTTCTGAATCAGGTGTGACTGTCTCAGTACAACAAAGTCCACCAATTCCGTAATGATCACAAACCTCAGCATTCCCTTGCAGCAGCGCCTCTCTTAGGACCATTTCTTATAAGGGTTTCTAGATTAACGGACATCTTCAAACCAAAGGCCACACCATTTCACTTCTCATGTGTTGATTTTCTTTTCTTTTATATGTAGCAGTAACGTATTTGGGAGATTGCCATTGAGGACCAACTCCATGGCACTCTGACACAGCGTCTGTATCTCGTGCAGCGCCACTGTCAGTTTTAACTTCGGGTATGTGGTTAACATACACGCCCCAATACTGTGTAGCACCAGATATTTTTCATAAGATTATGCACAAAACCTGGGGTGGAGGTGGATAGTCGTTCTCTATTGGGATCTGTACAAAGTCTCATAGTATTACAGAGGCTTCTCTTAATTCCATTATTTCAAGCAAAAGTACAAGGCATGCTATTTGGGCGAAGCACTTTTACAGACACCTCAGTCAGTGCCGCTTTCGGCCTGTTCTGTATCTTCCCTCGTAGCCTCTTAAGCAACTCTGGCTTTGCTCACTTTTGTACCCTGAGCCTTTGCACAGTCCTGGGCAGATAGTGGCTAAATATTTGGTGAATGAATGTTACTAAGCACGAACTGGAAATTTTTTGTGTACAACAAGACAGGTACCTTAGCTCAATTTATTCAAATAGTTAACAAGATGGCTCACACTGTCCTTAAACACTAATTTATTTACCCCTTTCCTGTTATTGGAGGTTCGGCATTATTAGCTACTGAATTTGTGTTTTTACACTTTGGGCTGCTTTTGGCCTTTATATTCTGTTTCGTTTTTTCATTCTTTGCTGAAATATTATTAGAATATGGAATAAATCCATTCTATCTAACTTCAGATATTCCTTTACTTTTCAACTTATCCAAGAAAATATATAAATCACTTTATTAATTCCCTTGGAAAAAAATTTCTCTGTAATTTTGATTTTAATTACATTAAACAGTAAATTAACTTGCAGAAAGCTGGCATTTTTATCACGATGACTCTCTTAATCCCAGTTTATGGAATATAACTATTTAATTCAAGTAGTTGTTTTTTTCTGATCTCTAAAAATTTATAGTCCCCTTATTAGTTACATAAGTGCCCACCTGTAACAGAAAGTCTTCACTAGAGTGGATTAACCAAAAGCTGCCACAAAGGTTATATTCGCTTTGATATAAGTTAACAAGGTTTCTTTACTTTCTATTCTCAGAAATGACTTTAATAAGAAACTTAATGACTTGCATAAGGTAGAAATTACTGTTCCCTGAAAGTTTGTCATTACCCAGCTATAAAACCATCTGTGCCTTTGTGGAGGAATATTTTAAATACCTTTTATAACTCAAGATTTCAGCTTTTTTGGGGGCCAATTTTGATATATTTGCATTTCTCAAGAATGCATTTCAAATGTATTTCTTAGACATTCATATTTATTAACACATTTTGTAATATTTTAAGTTACTGAAATCTTTAATATCTATAATTAGTTACTCTTTTGTTCTTTATTTGAATAGTTTCACTTTTTGTTTTTGTTTTTCTAGAATTTTATCTGTAATGTTATCCTTTATATTCCTATTTTATTTTTAAATTAAAAAATATTTTTAAAAATTTTAAATACTTATTACTTCTTACGAAAATCTTTATTTGTCATCCTATCACCTTTATTGGTATTAATCAATTGGACTTGCTATATTTATTTTTGATAACTCCTACATTCTGTAAGTATTTGTAATTATAATTTACATATATAATTTTTTCTGATATTGTTTTAGCTACATGTCACTATTGTTTACATGTAGAATGCCATTATCACTTTGACCTATTTTCTTTTGGGATTTGTTCTTTAACAAAAATTATTTAGTGGAATATTTTACTTTCTATACATATGGAACTAAATTTTGCTATACTTTGGTTATTGGGTTCTAACTCTGCTCAGAAATAGCTTTTTAGAGTTTTCAAGGCTTTTGTAGCTTAAATCATCAACAGGTTTGTTGAAATATTCCTCATGGATGCAAAAAGCACTTATATTCTGTGTTTGGGTGTGAAAATTATGTTTTTCATTTACATAAGAGTAATAACACAAACACATTTTTCTATAGCCCAGTTTGCATTTTGTCTTAACTAATTCTGAAAAGCATATGATAAATCAAAAGCTACAGTTTTTTCTTAAAAATTCTGTCAATTATAGTTTTATATATTTTAAATATTTGTTGCTATATACATATATGTTCAGGATTGTTACAACTTCATGACTTATTGTAACACCTGTCTTGTAGCTTATGATGCATTTTACCCCAAATTCTGATTTATCTGATAGTAAAAATTCAACACTGCCTTTCTTTTTCTTCATAAATCTTCAAAGCATTTATTTTCTATTTTTTGTTTTTAGTCATTTTGTACCTTCTTATTCAAATCTGTTTTCTTTAGTCCACCTATTCTTAAATTTTATTTTTGTACTAACTACCCTGGGAGTCTTTGTCAGTTAATTGGTGAGTTTAACCTATTTATATTTACTTTGATCATTTTAACATTAGAACTTAAATCTTCTGAATTATTTCATATTTTACCAACTCCCGTGTTTTCTTCTTGTTTTTGTTTAATCTGTTTACCTATTTACCATTAGATACATAAAATTTTCATCTGCTGCCTACAAGTTAGACATTTTATTCTATTTTTCTAGAGATTTTTTTTCCTGAGT